CCACTATGACCTGTCCATCTTGGGTGTCCCTGCATGGCATAGCCCATAGCTTCCCTGAGTTACTCAAGCCCCTTCGCCACGACAAGGCAGCAATCTGTGAACGGGGACTTAATGACTTAGCAACAACAACAGAAACATTACAACTGTTTCTCTAGTGCATATGCGTTGTTTTGTTTATGTGGATTCCAGTCCTACATAACAGAGTCCTATGCCTGACAAGGAGCTAAGACATTTAAATAAATTATGAAAGGAGTCGGATATTATGGAAATGTATACTATGATAGAGCATGAAAGGAGAAGAAGATGACAAGTTTGGGAAAACTGAGAATCTGTGAACTGAATGTTATCACCACATACAATTCGGCTGTTTGCTGAGCTGTGTTCTGCAAAACAGTGATGTAACAGTAAAATCACTTAATGGGGAAAGCCTAGCCTAGCAGATAACTCTATGAAAGAGTAAATGGGTGTCAAAAATTATTTAAAACCTTCCTTGTGGATTAAATATATATTCTTAAAGGTTTATGTATATGGTAACTTAAAAGGATTGGATTCAGGGACAGGAACTATAAGTAACCCACAGGTTTTTTTAAAAAACAGCAGGTTATCAGAAAACAGGTGCCTGTTTTACACATCCTGCTTTAATGAGTGGCTTAGCATTAAATCCTCGCAGGATGTCCCTAGCTTCCCAACACTACTGATAGTGCTGGAACAGGGGCAGCCTCGCCCAGCTGCCATGAATAGTCAAAATAATGTCACCCACCAGCCAGTGCCCAGGGTGGCTGGGAAACCTCCTTGGCTCTGGTGGACTCAGGGGCAAATCCAGTGGTTTCTTTTTCCCCACATGGCAAAAGGGTGAGGCTGCCCTGACTATGATGCTGTCATTCACAGTGGGAAGCCTACCAGCACCAGCCAGCCAGGATGGAAACCCTGATGCGGTCTAAAAATTGTGCCAATGTGCACGTTTAAAAACTGCACCAGGGCTTGCATCACGTGAAATGAGCCAAGTCGCTGTGAAGCTACCATGTGAAGTGCAACCTCAATCACTGGCAACCAGTAATTTCACAACCGCCATAATCAAAGCAAGCATCTCATGCATGGCAGGCTCTACTCTCAGACAGAGGAAGACTACTGTCTCAAGAAGCCAATAATGGTGTCCAGGAAAAGCAGTCCATCCTCCTATGAGTGATCTTCAGCTGTCTGGTCCATCTATGTCAGAGGGCAAAAAAAGCCCATTAAAAGAACCCCTTTAAAAAAGAGATGGCTTTCATTTTTATAACATTGATAGCGGTTTTTGAGAGTCAATTCACGCTTTCAGAAAATTCGGAGGAAAATAATAAATAAAAATAATTCCAGCCTTATTAGAACAACTTCCTTTTTTGTTTCAGTACCAGTTTTCCCATTGTACTGATATTCAAAGGTACTGTATTTGCTGGCGTAAAAGATGACTGGGCGTATAAGAAGCCCCCCCCAACATTTCCACTCAAAATATAGAGTGGATGGCTCTGCTGCAGCACCGGCGGTGGCTGCCCGGGGCTCTGCCTGGGCCCACCCTGGAAGTTCATGGCCAGTGATGAAGAGGGCGAGGAGGAGGGGAAGCAGCCGGGTGGGCGGCGGCAGCGGAGGAGGAGGAGGAGCTCTCTAGTGGCGGGCAGGCAAGCGGGCAGCTGGCTCAGCGGCACGGGGTGGCAGGCAGCCCGGCAGTGGGCTCTGGCCACTGAGGCATGGTCGGCTCTGCTTCTCTCCCTCCGTCCGGATCAACCACCGGCCTGCCCGCCTGCCTTCCTCCCCGGCTGACGCGGCCCCACGTCACTCACTCAATGGCAGCGGCTCCTTCCTGGTCCAACTGAAGTGCACCCGGTGTATAAGATGACCCCCCCACTTGGAGGCATGTTTTTTGGGTCAAAAAAGTCATCTTGTACGCCGGCAAATACAGTATCTAATTCCTAGTTTATATTGCTGCTTCTATCTCCCCCAGCTATTAACTGCAAGGTTCTGAGACCAGTGTAACAATTGGAGAAATGTGTTAATATGTTACTTTGTGCAAGATCAAATTATTTACAGATGCAAGCAGTAGATAATTTTCCACTCTTGTTCTTGAATGCTTATTTTGACTAATCTTTCTATTCAATGCTCTTTCTACTTGAACGCTTATTTTGACTAATCTTTCTACTCAATTTTGACTAATCTTTCTACTCATTATACAAGTAATTTATGGCCTGCTTATTTTATTTCATCTCCCTCTTTCCCTTCAAAGCAGTTGACTTTATGCTTTTATTGTGCCAATTCCAGATATAATTTTATCTCTGTTCAAATTTAATGCGATGACAATTTGCCTTTAACTTATGGAACACAAAAGGTCCACAATTTTCAGGCATGCCAGAAAATCTTTATAGTGAAGGCCATTTGTTTCCTGAGTCATCGTTATTTTTGGATATCAGAAGATGGTCCTAGGTGAATGTCCCTGTATGTTAGAGGCAGTCCATCATTAGAGTTGAATTCATGTTACTGTTCAGGATATGTAACTGAAGCAGTCTTTCATGTCTAGGAAATCAGGCCTTCAAAGGAAAAATAAAAATACAAATCCATACTTCTGGCTTGAGGACCAACTATAAAACAAAACAAGCTAATTTGCAAATTACAGGAAAGCCCCTTTTGTGACAATTAGACACAATCAACCCTACAAGAATGTCTTATTCTAGTAATAGGTTATCTGTAAGGTTTAGTTGGGCCTAAATAAGCAAAAGCACTAAAATAAGCAATAACCAAAATCCTGTTGCTCAGCATAACAAATGGTGCTAGAGTAAACCTATTGAATCAGTTGTGATTTGGTGAGTTAACTACTCCGCAAGTTACATTGACCCAAATATGTCTACTTTAACTGTGACCTATTTTAGCATAGTAAATCACTGTGATTTTTCATTCCATACAGCAGCCTCCAGACTCATGCTGTCCCCTAGCTGGATCTCTATTTACAGAGGGAAAAAATAGTACCCAGCTGAGAATCACAAGTAGAGATGGGGACAAATAAAAAAATGGATCGGTTTTTCTGACAAATATAGCCAATTTGTTAAATATTCATCGAATCGTATTTGTGGGTTCCAGAGAGGCCCTACGAATATGAAGGGATGAATATTTACCTGTTTTTATTTGTCTTTCATATTTAAAACAAACAAAAAAACACAATTCTGCCTACCGGCTGCCGATTACCTGATTGGCAGCAGAAAGGCAGCCACCCAATACCACAGCCTACCCCACCCCCTTCCTTTTCCTATCTTAAGCCCCACTCCATCCCACCCCCACCAACACCCTCTTACCTTAATCACTGCTGCAGAGGTCTTCTGGCCTTACAGCCACACATGTTAAAAGGGAGACTGGCTGCCCTTTTCAAAGATGGCAGCTGTGGCTTCATTTAGGGTAGGGAAGCTGCAGCTGCCATCTTTGCAAAGGCCTGGATTCCCTTAGCCTGCCTGAGTACATCCCTCGTCTACCTCCTCTGCATGATTGCCCACTCACTGACAGTTGCACACTTCCTGCCTCTGCCTCCTCTGCATGATTATCCACTGAACAGCAGCATTGTGGGCTTCCCTGCCCTGCCTCCTCATCTGAGTGGGCAGCCGCCGGATGTGTGCTGCTACAGTGAGTGGTGGTAGTGCAGAGGAGGCAGGGAAGGGAAAACATGGCACAGAGAGAACACCTGTGTGGCTGTTGTGCCAAACCAGGCCAAACTGCTGAACTTCATGCCCATCTCTAGATTGTACTGTTCACTCTCTGAGATCACGCACCTTCCATAGGTAAAATGTGTTGCCCGTGTTGGGTTTAATGGTATGTCATATCTTGTACATGAGAGACATGATGCTTTCATGTGACCTGAAATCCCACACAGAGGAGAACACAAACTCTTATCTTTACACACATCATCATCATTATCCTCATCATATCCCATACAGTCAATTCTGACTCATAGCAACCCTTTTCCAGGTTGTTTTCTAGGTACAGAGCACTCAAAAGGAATTTACCATTCCCTTCTTCTAGGACTGTCTTGGGACTGTGTAGCTTACCCACGATTATACCGGCTGGCCCTTCTCCTGGGGGGGCACAGTGGGGAATCGAACTATCAATGTCTGACTCTCCACCAGATACCTAACTCACTAAGTTATCCAGACAGCTTCCCAAATTTATGTAGAATAATTTAAAACAAATGCTAAGTGTTTTTGTAAAAAAAAAGTTCCCATTTTTTAAATGGAGGGAACCAGCAACACTGTTTTATATATTAAATCATTTCTGTCCTCAGGAAATCAGCTGTTTACAACCCTCCGTTCCCCAAATTTCTTCCAATCTTTTCTTTTTCAGTTTAAAAAACAAAATAATTTATCACCACAATTCGTGAAGTTCTATACAAGAATCTTACCTTTTCCCCTGGAAATCCTGGGATGCCATTTTCTCCTTTAGTACCTTCTTCACCCTACAAAATAAATTTGTTGTAGAGATATTTGTGCTCTTATGAAAATGCAAAGCTGTTTAACAAAATGTTTAAGTCCTTTAAATGTTAAATTCTGCTTTATAAATTCTGCTACATTTTTTATTTTTGCGTTTCTCCTAAATGTGAATGGCAAAAGGAACCACCCACCCAAAAGAGAAAGAGAGAGAGAGAGAACAGCAAGCGTTTCACTGAACAAAACATTCTATGTACTGTAAAGAGCACAAATTAAATAGAAAATTAGACCTGAAAGATTTAAAATCTACAGTGATGTTTCTAGCAAAATAAAGCAAGAATTAAATTTACCCTTGCATTAGTTCATGACATAACATTCATGGTCTCTTGGCATTGCACAAAGAAATACCAGTGTCAAGGACCTTTGATTAGTAGAGAAAAGAATTGTTCCACTTGGAAAACTTAATTCACAAAATCCAAAAGTTCTAGCACCAGTCTACATTCACTACAAGTCCTTACTCAGTGGTGAACACAAAAGCCACTATGCTTCAGGTTTTAACCATTCAAAGTGGGGATAGCAAAACTTTGTTATTGGAATAGCATATAAAATCTACTGGCCTTACCCTATGGCCACCTGAGCAAGCATAAACCAAAATCCAGCTACCCACCAAATATGACTACTGAAATTAAAGATGAGATATCTTAAATACAGTCTTCAGCAAGAAGGTATTCTAACTCAAGTATTATTTTTTTAAAAAAACTTTTTTCGAATGACGCTTCTCTAAAATTTGTAAAGAACAGATCCTCAACAGTATGTAAGTAACCCAAAGTCTGCAGACTTCAGGAATTATAGATTCTGAAGGTCTGGACCATTGTCCACTAATGAACTTAATAATAATAATATGCCCTTTGGCTGATGTAACATTAGGGATCAAAAATTAAAAACAACAACAGGAAAGCTGCAGTCTGGTACAGAATAATAATAATTAGCCATGTATGCCTGCATTCTAATGCATAAATAAAGGAATATGTTTTGCCAGTATTATGACACTAATCTGATTCTCCAGGCACTTCTTCCATGATGTATTGTTATAGCCTTTCCTCTTCCTTGTTTGATAGTTATTGGGAAGATCATATGTTGCATGCTTCTAATACATAGCTAATCTCTCCAGACCGTAAACTGAAAGTGGAATATCAGAAGGGTGAATTAGAATTGAGTGTACAAGAGAGAAAGTGTTTCTAAAAACTGGTTACTTGTGCATGTATTTATTTTATCTAGTTAAGTTACAAACAAAAGTCCTATAACAGAATAGCCCCTTACAATTTGTTACAAAGAGCGCTCCACGTGGCGCAAAGCTGCCACTATGTTTGCACTTTGCTTGCCTGCTCGGAGGAGATGAGCGCAGGAAAATTACATCAAGGCCAGGGGGAGGAGGAGCTTGAAGGAGCCTTCATCTTGCCTGCCTCTCCTGAGATCGGCCTCTGTTTGTTTGTGCAATCAGGCCCTTCAGGAGAGACATATGTGGCAGCATTGCCTGGTGGGCAGAGCGCTATGCTGTCGGCTGTTGTAATAACAGAGGAGCAGCACTGTTGCTCGGGAGTCAGGGCAGCAGCAGACGAAGCAAGCCGGGAGCCCGAGGGTGTCCTGTTAGAGCAGTGGTCCCCAACCTTGGGCCTCCAGATGTTCTTGGAATACAACTCCCAGAAGCCCTCACCACCACCTCGGCTGGCCAGGATTTCTGGGAGTTGTAGTCCAAGAACATCTGGAGGCCCAAGGTTGGGGACCACGGTGTTAGAGGATAGGGAGGAGAGACGGACAGAGGCAGCTGAGGTCGTGGTAGTTGGTAGCACACTGGGGTCAGGAGTGGTCAGTGGCAGTCCAGACAGGGCTGCAAACCTGTCACCAGGGGAGCCACCACACACAGATACAGTGGCATAAGGTGAGTGTATTTGGTCATGGGTGCAGTGAGCCCACCCGGGTTCAACCAAATGCCCACTGCGCCAGTGATGTCAGCTAATCCAAGTGGGACACTGCTGAGGGTTTCACCAGCACCAGCTTCAAAGCCTTGGACGGCACCCTACCCTCAGTGGTTCATGACCAGTCAGGCCCCAGGTTTCGCTGAAGGAATTTAGACAGTCATCCCTTCCCCCCATTCTGGATACTGGTTATAACTCTGTTTTGTGCAGGGCTCTCCCTTATGGGGATCAGCCCCTGCCACTGGGGGATCATCTCCTTCCATCCACAATAGAAACAATTTGGAGGCAGGAATACATTGATGTTTTTAAACAGAAAGTTGGAGGAGAAGAAGGGAGATAAGGAAGATGATAGAGAGAAAAAAGAATTAGGAGAAAGAAGCCTGAGAGGTGCTGTGCTAACTGGCTTCCAGGTTTCTTCATTTATGCCAGAATCATTGTGAGGGCGCAACCTTCGTGCCTTTTCACTGATTCAATATATGGACTTGATTTACTGGGCCTCTGTGGATTTCCCGGGGCATGTGCGGCTTCTCTGTGATGAGGGGTTCCGTATGAGAGTGGCGATTCACCCAGAGATGCACTGGGATGTGCAGCACCATGGTTTACGGTTTACAGTTGATGACCCCATCCTGGCCCAACTTGGATGACTGCTTTGACAGCTGTCATTTGATTCAAAAAGCAGTTGCAACAAATATTCCCCACACATTGGCGTGTCAGGTGGTTCAACCCCACTTGATCCGCTGGGAGTTTAATTCCAAAGGGTTTCGTAGCTGCAAGCCATGTAGATTTAGGCACCAATGCTCCATCTGCAGTGCCCCACATGGATCATTTACCTGCTTTGGGGGAGACCAGGGCCAGGGGCAAATAGGGAACAAGAGAATACAAAGAGGCCACCTCCTGGGTCGGCTAACTCTGGAAAAGGGCCCCAGCCCAATTACAGTTTCAGTATTGGAGAAATGGCTGGAGTTATATCCAGACAAAGAAGCAGCCAGTTATTTGAGGAAAGGATTTAGGTGTGGTTTTAGGATCCCATTTCAAGGTAAGAGGGTAGCCGCTATGTGCAAAAATTTTAAGTCAGTTGTAGGAATGGAAGAGGTGATAAGGAAAAAGATTTGCAAACCAATAGCAGAAGGGAGATTGCTAGGCCCATTTAAGGAGTCGTGGGTTCAAACGCTGAGGGCTTCCTCATTGGGAGTGATGCCTGAAAAGCACTGGGTGAATATAGACTTATTCACCATTTGTCATACCTGGCAGGGGACTCAGTTAATGATATGATCCCCCAGGAATTGTGTTCTTTTAAGTACAGTGGTGCCCCACATAGCGAGGATAATCCGTTCCGGATTAACCCTCGCTATGAGGAAACATCGCTAAATGGGACGCAAAATGCCATTGGAACGCATTAAACTTAGTTTAATGCGTTCCAATGGCTTCTATACTCACCGTTAAGCAAAGTTTCCTCATAGCAATGCCATTTTTGCGCCCTCGGTAAGCGAGGGCAGGGCGCGAAAATGGTTGCGGTGGCCATTTTGGGTCATCTGGCGGCCATTTTGGAGCTGCTGAACAGCTGATTTCCCAGCGTCGCAATGCGAAGATCGGTAAGCGAAACACTTACCGATCTTCGCAATGCGAGTTTTGGCCATAGAGGCCATCGGTAAACGATGACTAATGGCCCTATTGGGATTTGGGATATCAAGTCCTGAAGCATCTAGTATGGTTAACCTTCCTACTTCAGAGCACAGTTTGCTGTCCTCTGAAGATGCCGGCCACAGAGACTGCAGAAACGTTAGGAAGAACCACCTTCAGAACACGGCCAAGAAGCCCGAAAAACCCACAACAACCACTTCCTACCATACTTTAGGAGATTCCCTTTTCTGTCTCATTGCATAGAGGATGCAAGGAACCAACTGTTTTAGATCAGATTCTTCCAGTTGCTGCTCTGAAATCTCAAGTACAATAGAGCCAGTCTTTCCCATTCTGAATCTTGGAGCTATGAGGTGATAAGAAGATCCTGAAAGCCAGAAATCTTCAACTTGGCAAGGGTAAAAAAGGGATCTCATTATTTGGATAATGAGATTATAAAAAGGATTATTTGATTTTAAAAATACAAATGTAGTGATCAATGTAAATGTTTTTGTGCCTATAGCTTCTACGTCTTCAGTCACTACGTCTCTAACCTCTCCAGTCCAGGTCAGCAATCCCAATTAAAGCCAATTTCACTCCTCTTCTCTTTTTTTCAAAGCAGCAGGATAGTGAGGAAGAAAGTCAGATGGAAAGACCTGACACACTACATCCAGCCCATGGGGTGGAGGTTCCACACCACAACATTAAACCACAGTTAAACCATGTTTTAGCATTACATTTAAAAGTTTAGTTTCTTTCTGGACTGTTGCACTCCACCATCCTCTACAACTATTGTAAAGTAACTGCAGTTTGCCAAGTCATCTGAACCCTCTATTATGCTTAGCCCTACCCAGGATTGTTAAAAACAATGTAATTTCATAAAACGTGGTATGGAACAAGCTTATTTCTTCCAATTAAAATTAGCTACAGTTAAAATTAACCACAGTTTGTCTGGGTTTAAATGATGCAGCAAACTATATTGTCATTAATCAAAAACTTACAGATTCCTCCTCACAGAGGGAAATAAA